TCCTACAAAAACTTTTGGGAGTTGTGTACTTGCTGCCCCTGTAACACCACCGAGCACGCTAGGCAGTTACTGATTACTTATCCTTGCACATCCCCGTCCTGCGCAATCGCACCGACACTATGCACTCCTGCAGCACCAAATGTTGTATGCACATCTGCTGTTCCCATCCAAACACAACCAATCCCATCGTCGCACCCAACACCCACCCCTCGGAATGCTTGCGTGACGTTGTGCACAGCTTGTTCGGCTGATTGGTCTTCAAGTCTACCTATTGTCTTCTGCAACTCTGAGTTTTCCTCCACCATTTTCCTAAACTCGTCGTCCTTCACCTTGAACATGCAAGTGAAACCACCAACTATATCCACAACTTGTTTCTCTTTCATCCTTTTCAATTGTTCAACCTCGTCTTGAAACTTCATTATCATGGAATCTTTAATCATGGATTGTGTATGCAATGAATCAATTTCTGCTAAAGCTTCTGTGAGTTTTACTTTATCACCAGCCTCGCGCGTAACATGGCTTGAGCAACTTACTATCAACCCGATACCCTGTTTGTCCACCCCACCAACCACCACGTCAGAACCAATGCGAGTTATGTCATCATTACCACTTAGCTCAAGTTTGCCAACCAACCCACCAAGAAACACACCGTCATTGTGATCATCACCCTCACTCACATCATCATCACCCCTTCCGCCCCCAACTACTCTATCAGTCCCACCATTACTATCACGTCCACCTATTTCCCTGTATGCATCAACATTACCGTCCGGCCCTTTATCAAAATCTTTCCCAACTATGATAACTTTTTCGTATGCTTCACTGACAAGCCTTCCAGCCCTCACCTGACACACATGCACGTGCAAAAAACCCACCATTACAAACGTACAAAGTCAAAAAATACAACAAAACTAATTACTCACGTACCTAAAACAGTGCCTCGGACGTCAAATCCAAACCACGCGTCCTCACCAGCAACGTGCTTATGTTCCATTTTAAGAACCTTAGGAACATGATCGGTTTACCAGTGGCCACAATGTTGGTATGTTCACATAACCAATACTGCGTGGCACCCAAAACCAACAGTTAACGAATTACAACGTTCCAATGTCTAAACATACCTATCCGGACAATACAACTAACCAGAAACATGTAGTAAGTTTACAAACAAAACTGCTTGTTAGCCTATATACATACCAGGAGGGCAACGATGCAACCGGTAACTTTATCTGGTTTTTGGTAAAATTCCCGCACTGACCCCATAAGTATGTTTTGAATTGCTTCTGTCCAGTCATACATTTGCACTGTGTCCAAGTTGTCGATGTAGCGCACAAACACCCAACTAATCGTCTCCCCAGACGTTGAAAAAAAAAAGCTTCCCACAAAAATAAAGACACAACAGTTTTGTCGTGTCTTCCTCGTCATGAACCGATCTACCTTTGACAACATCATCAAGCAACTCTCTGATCAGATTTGTAGTTATTCTCCCTATGCCACCACATTGTCGCTGGATGAAATCTGAAGCCGGCCTTGTGCTTAGAGTTAGGTCGAGATGTTGGTCACCACACTGCAATCTAAACACCAACCTAATGTCTGTATTCCTAATCTTCACTGGACAACCGCCAATGTAGAATGCATCGTCCCGTCTATGGAATGTCCTCAAAATCTTTAACACAAGATCGTCACACTTTCTATACTCGTTCCAATCCGGTTTGTTAATAACAATGGCTTCAAACATGAGCCAAAATGGTGTCTTTCTCAACTGCCGAAAGTGTCCCTCATGTAACCCCAACTCGGACACCACCTTAATAACACCTTCTATGTTCAACCAGAAATTGATACGGTGTGTCGTCTTCTCGGGTGACACGTATTTTTGTGCAACATTTTGAGGGGTTTTGAACAACACACGACCCTGCATTTTCACACTTAACTTCAACGATGACGGGACAGGCGCTGCATCCAACCATTTACGCTCACATGACCTAGTCCACGGGTTCCTCATCCATGCAACTTCTGCATATAAAAACACAACGTTAGTAACTAAAATTTATGAACAGTTGTACATATGATACATTGCCCCTATACCAATAACAACATTTTTTTTGGCCTCCTAAATTGTTCACACACACCCATCATAATACTTCACGATAAAGCTACCCCTAAACCCTGCAATTGATATACACAGCATCACAGACCAATAACTCAAACAACAAATTATGCTACAATATTAGTAAAACATGTGTCACGCATGACTGCCATCCAAATTCAACCCACATTATATCTTAACATATTGACTAAGGGCATGGGGGCAGGGGTCCCAGCATTTGTCTTCAAATGCCAAAAGTGCACCCACACATACACATTTTATGAACACACGCAGACGGATAACAACCACACAACCTACATACCAATTACCATTCAACAGTCCACACACAAAAAACACACACATACAGACAAACCATGAATAGACAAACCATGAATAAACTCACACACACAGGGTAATAAACGACCCAACCAAGACGACATTCATACATCACACACATACGCTTGACACACAATGGGACAAACTGACTCACACACTATTATATATAATATATATGCACATTTACAGCCCACCGTTAACACCTCACCAACATAAGGATTCAATAAGAACAACTTACGATTGTTCGTCATTATAACAGGGTTACAGATTAGTGTCGCCAGCCCACCGTCATCACACTAACAACCCTAATCATCGCCCAAAGAAAACCCCAAAATTCCGTCTCCAGCCCCCAAACCCCAAACTCCAATGCCTACCCAACAATAACACAATCGTATTCTTCACTTGCGTCATTCAGATCCAAAACACCAAATCTCAAAGATTAACACAGCAATTCAAAACCTGATTACACCAACTACAACAGCAAGATTATAGGGATTCGACGACATCATGTTCTGGTGATTGAATAATTCAATTGGGGATTCCATAAAACACAAATGGTATCGACGTAGGGGTCGGGTTGACGTAATCTGGTCAGATTTTCGCCCCGTCACACACTTAGCAACCAATACAATCTACTATAGCCCTTTTCCCAACGTGACACCTAAACTCGTCCCACTTCCTACGGAATACCAACAGCCCATGGCCCACTAACGTTCAAGACGAGTGCATGTTAGTAAACACACATGAAGTAGGACTAATCAGACTGCAAAATATCTTTTAGGACTATCTGGACCACCTTTTCACATTTTATGATTTATCTATAAGTCTCCCTTCTATAATAACTATAAAATTAAATATGAAAAATTACACAAAAAATGATTGAGCTTGAATCTTATAATAAAACAAATTTTGATTTTATAATTTTATTAATTCATATCTTAATATTTTGATTTGTTTTTAATATAAATTATTTACCTATTTTCGTAAATAAAAAAACAGAAAAATAACATTTTAGTCATTAAACTCAATATAGGTGTACATAAAATATTTAAAACACTATTTTTCATTGAGTTTAGTAACTAAAATATTATTTTTTTTCTTGTCAGTTTTATTTAATAAAAGTACGCAAATAGTTTAGATTGAAAACAAATCAAAGATCAATATTTAAATTGATAAAACTAAAAATTAAGAATTTATTTTGTTATAATAATCAAACTGGGTTTTCTTTTCCCAATTAAAAAAAGGGACATTCTTAACAAAAAAAAAAAAGGTATAAACTTAAAATAATTGCAAAGAGGTGGAAGTATAAGACTTAATTGTACAATCCAATGCATAAATTGTTTGTACTTTCATGACATTGTAATTATTTTGTGTTGATAACATTTTTCTGCAATTCTCCCATAAATAAATGATAAAATATAATTTAAAGATTAATAAAAAAGTGAAATTAACTTGTTTCTAGGGACTCGAAAAACCAAATTCAGAAAATACCCAAAAAGCTAAATTAATGGTGTACAATAAAAGTTTTATGTGAGACCCTATCATTAATGATGAATCTAGACCTTTGATTTTAAATTTTGTTAGCTTCTGATTCTTTGTGTCTGGATTCAAACAACCCGTAATATGGATAAATCATTATCAACCACCGATGGTTGTCTACCTGTTAGCAAAAATCTAGTTCAGGCCAAATCGACAGAGGAGATTCGATAGAGAAACCAAAATTTTCACAAACAACAAACAGATCAAGTAATTGTGGTTTGAATGTTCTATGCATTGACAGATTCAACAACTTCTTTGGAGGTTGTAATGTGAAGAAACAAACTAAAAACTGATAGAGTATTGCTAAAATTGTTACTTGTTACAAAGATTTGAGCAAGAACAAAAACAAACAAAAAAAACAAAAATACAAAAGAACCAGAAAAAAGTTTACAGATTACAATAATCAGAAAACGATTACAGAACCATTAAATTAAAAGTACTCCTAAAAGGAATAAACTACTCCTAGGCTAGAAGCTATCTATTTCTAATTGAACTCATGCAGAGTTGTGTTAATGATTGATCACTTTTTGTTGTGTCTTTTTGCCCTAGGTAGTTTCCCTTCAAGACTTGAAGAACCACAATCGTTGCAACATCATGGGCAGTTCCACACAGCCACTAACGCACGTTATTTTCCTTTCCTTCACTTCTTCCCATATAGATCCTTGAATGACGGAAGTCTGAGTGTGCACGTGGCTTGGCTTCACTTTATAATCACTCTAGCTACACCAACAAAACAAATAAAATAATAATAGTAATAATAATAATGAAATATAAACATATATGTGGCCATAATTTTATATTAAAAATAATTTATAATCTAAATCAATAGATCAAATTCGACAGGCAATTTGGCCACAATCAACAAGCCATGATCAATTAAACGGGACTTGGCCATAATTAACAAGCCATAATCAACAGAAAATTATTTTTTGGTGCCAACACTACCACACCACACCACACCCGTCATTGTTCCACAGTTGACTAAGTAATTTCCAATATTTGTGAGAATTCAATTACGAAGAGATTGATGAGAGAAACCATGGGAGCTGATGTACCGATTTCAAGTTTATTAAAGAAATTAAACAAGTTGAAAGACGTTGTCCAGGAAAGATTTATCTATCCAAGACTGAGAAATCATGTACATGTTGCCATCGACGAACTACAACGCATTCAGAACAAACTTGAAGAAGCAGAGGATACCAGTACCGTTCTTCCCACTGTTTACATTTCAGATGACACCAGTACCCTTCTTCGCTCTGTTTACTCTGCTGAATTTTTAATCAAAACTTTCCTCCTCAACACACCAATTCATTGCTGACGGGATGATCTAAAAAATCTTACCAAAAACCTGCCAATTCCACCATGGACCCAATTACGGTTCAGCTCCAAATTGAAAAAATTCGTGAAGAGCTTAAAAGCTGTGCATAGTGAATCGAGGCCTCGCAGAGACCATTCAGCAATCAATCACAAAACCCATGAATTTGATGATGATGATGATGATGATGATGAACTTGTTGGATTTGGAGATGTGGCAGAGAAGAATCTGGTAGATCGACTAATCAACGACGACGAGAAAAGCCTCCGCGTGATTTCTCTAGTCAGCAAAAAGGCTGTGGCAAGACAGCTCTGGCAAGGAAGGTTTATAACAGACTCGACATTCGGCAGTCTTTCGAGTGCCGAGTTTGGCTCCATGTTCCCAAAAATATTAAATGCAAGGATCTGTTGATTGTCTTACTCAAACAGATTCCGATGGGGGTGTTGAAGGGGGTAGAGCTCATGAGCGAGGACGAGCTGTCTGCTCTGCTTTTCCAGACTTTAATGGAGCTCAGGTTTCTAATAGTCTTGGATGATGTCTCCTCGTTTGATGTCTGGCTCATGTTAGCATGTCCCTTTGCAGACACCGCCAATGGTAGCAAAGTCATCCTCACTACTCGCGACTCTAAGATAGCCTCGGATGTTGATCCGTGGAGTCGCCCACCGCTGGAACTCAAGCCCTTCACTGATGAGCTGAGTTGGGAATTGTTCTCGAACAAGTTTCGTGTAGGCAGACATGACACAGATACACACCACCAGTTAAACAGTTACAAGGTAAAAATTCTGAAAATATGCGGCGGTTTGCCTCCAGCAATTGTCCTGCTTGGACGATTGTTGTCAACTATACAATCTAATGAGTTGGTCTGTGTAATTGATAGTCTTTTAATCGACTTGGACAAACTTGATCAATCACCTCTCTCAAATATTATAGCTTTATGTTTTCGTGAGCTACGGTCTAAGTTGAAGCTATGTTTTCTTTACTTGGCTCTCTTTCCTAAAGAGTATGAGATCTCCGTGCGGAGGCTGTTGCAGTTGTGGATTGCAGAGGGTTTTGTGAAAATGTCAAGTACCCAACAACCTGAAGATATAGCCGGTAAATATTTGAAAGAACTCGTGCACAGAAACATGATTGAAATAGCAACAAGGAAGGAAGACGGAAGGCATAAAACATGCCGAATGCCAAGCTTTCTTCATGATTTCTTCTTTCAAAAATCTGAGGTTATAGGATTTATTCACGCCCACCATTGCAGAGCGAATTGTACACCTATAGATTCAACTGCTCAGCTTAATACAGATTCACCGGCTGATCAGCCTAATACAGATTCATCTGCTCAGAATAATATAGATTTACCTGCTCAGCCTAATAATGTTTGTTTATCAGATGTTTGTTTTAAAGCCCAAACGAGAGGTACATCCAACGAAAAAATCAATGAGTTGCTTAAAACAATTATCGATAGGAGGAGATCTAGAGGTTTTGTGTTGACGAAGGTGCTTGATCTAGAAGGTGCCCACAGACCTTTGCTACATGCGAAACTCGGCAAGTTTTTGAGCAACTTAAGGTACATAAGCTTGCGATGGACGGGTATAGACTCATGTCCGAAGTCTATTGGCGATCTACCGTGCCTGGAGACTTTAGATTTGAAGTATACTAACATAACCAATCTGTCGAGTTCCATTTGGAAGGCGAAGAACCTTCGACATCTGCTTATGAACGAGGTGTCCATTCCAAAGCCGTCATCATCAAAACAGTCTTCAACTTCAATGTCCAACATTCAGACCTTAACAGGCCTTCGTATCGGTTTTGAGGACCCCAAAGAATACGGCTTGAACAGGTTCACCAGCCTTCAGAAATTGGGACTGACTTGCCATTCAAGATCATCCGTGGAGAAAACATGGGATTGCATCTCACAACTTAACAAACTTCAAACTTTCAAGCTCAGATCAAGGGATCATCAATTCGGTCAGCCTTCAGAGCTCGTGATTCCTGACAATCTGACAACCCATCCGTCTCTCTCAAACTTATATTTGTTCGGAGTGTTCAACTTCAAAGTTGGAAACCTTCCCAAAAACCTCAAAACCCTGACACTGTCAATGTCGAAAATCAAAGATCCAATGCCGGAGCTAGGGGAGTGTCTGCCTCAGCTGAACATACTCAGGCTTTTTGCTGACTCTTTTGTAGGGGAGAAAATGAATTGTCTTGGTGGGGGATTTCCCAAACTTCGTGTGTTGAAATTGTGGATGTTAGAAACCCTCAAGGAGTGGATCGTTGAGGAAGGTGCTATGCCCGAACTTGAAGAATTAGAAATTAGAGGTTGTGAAAAACTGGAAAAGTCACTAGGATTGGAGCGGCTGAGTCACCTCAAGGAATTGACGTTAACAAACATGAAGCGGGAATTTGTAGAAGATGTTAAACAAAATCTGGCGTCCGTGGGCAGATCGCACATACTACTCACCAACAAGTTCAAGTCTTCAACCACTCTTGCATGTAAGTCTTCTCATCATCTTCATCTTCTTTTTCTTTTTCTTTTTCTTTTTCTTTCTCTTTTTTTAATGGAAAATTTCTATCTATAATTATGGTCCATCCCCTATCTCCTCCCACACACAAAACAATGTATGCAAATACAATGCTCAATCAATACACATATTTTCTGTATCAATGCCATGGTCAAAATTAATGACTTAACCAATGTGATTAGTTTCAGTTATTCCTAATCCACATGCAATGTCTACAACAATCACGACTATCCTCCACTGATAGCCCAAAACAGTTATTTCTAGACTGACAATAAATATAACAACAATTCAATAGGTGAGTGGTTTAAATTATCCAACTACACAATTTAATCAATGAATTCCTCAATTTCATGCACTTCTCCAATTTCCCCAATTTCCTTAAATTAATTATACAAATTAATTTATTAATACAACTAGGGTTTTTCCCACAATTATCAAAGTAACCCCCAACATATCAAAATACCAAAACTTAGAACAAAACTTATAAAATGGAGTAGGAAATCCCTACCTCAAAGACAACAACTCAAATGGTGAAGACAGGGATGAGTGCCCAAATACCAATGTGCTTCAAATCGCCAAATGTTCAGATTAAATGAAAGCCCTCAACTCACTCTATCTTTTTAATGAAGGATCTAGGGTAGAAACACACCATAAGTGGATCAAATCTAAGAGAGAAGGTGAATAGGGAGAGAGAGAAGTCGGACCTAGGGTTTGGAATCAAAAGAAGATGAAAAATCTAAGAGAGAAGGTGAATAGGGAGAGAGAGAAGTCGGACCTAGGGTTTGGAATCAAAAAGAATATGAAAAAGACTGATCAAAACCCGCTGTTGCGTATATAAACTGGACAGGCTCGCTCGAGCGAAGACTTGGTCGCTTGAGCGACCAGACACAGAGAAACAACGCTCGAGCCAAGGAAGCGTTGCTCGAGCCAACAAGCCTAAAGCTCGCTCGAGCGAAAGAAAGCTCGATCTAGCGAAGAACTCAAACCCTCAGGTCTGTAACCAGACACACGCTCGAGCGAAGGAACTAATGCTCGAGCGAAGAACGAACTAACTCGCTCGAGCGAAGAAAAGCTCGCTCGAGCCAAGAATGCAAAGCTACAGATCCAAACCAGACACAAACTCTCGCTCGAGCTACCAAACCCCGCTCGAGTGAAGAACCAAAAACAACAGCTCGCTCGAGCGACAAACTCATCGCTCGAGCGAAGATCCAAAATACTGGACAGCAACACTTGATTTCTAAACCCAACCAACCTGAAACAACCCTGCCCAACACATCCTATAATTCCAAATAAGAAAATAAGGGACAACAACAACCATTATACAATGACAGAGTCTACGGAACCTATGTCCGGACACAATAGTCAAATGGGAAAAGACCGGGGTCGCTATACCTCATAAAAGTGTGGTGATAAATACTGAATTGTTAGAATTAATTCACACTAATTTATGTGAATTTGAAGGAATTTTAACACGTGGTGGAAATAGATATTTTATCACTTTTGTTGATGATTTTTCAAAATACACTTATGTATACTTGTTAAAAAATAAAAGTAATGCTTTTGAAAAATTTAAAGAATTCCATATTTCAGCCTGCATCACTATTATGCATTATTCCTTTCAATATTAGCACTTTCCTTATCATATTCAATTGCACGATATATACAACACATTTAACAATGCAATCAACATATGCTATGTTACACTAAACTTCTATAATGAAGCAAGTTTCAAAATACACTCTTTTACCAAAACAAACTCAATGTTTCACAACTTAAGACATATATAAAGCTCTTAAGTTCAACCATATTACAAAATCTAAATATATTCATCTGCATCCAATGGTGTAGTAGAAAGGAAAAATAGAACTTTAACTGATTTAACAAATGCTATGCTAATTGAAGCAGGTGCTTCTTCAAATTTGTGAGGAGAAGCAATTTTGACTGGATGTTATGTTATGAATAGAGTGTCATATAAAAAAAACAAAAGTTACACCTTATGAGTTATGGAAAGGGCATAAGCCAAATTTGAGATATTTAAGGGTTTGGGATTGTCTAGCTTTTGTTAGACTTGTGGACCCTAAAAGACCTAAATATTAAATAAAAAAAGGAAATTGAATGGAGATGGAAATTGAATAAAAACTGAAGTGGAAACTGCAAAAAATTGAATATGGAAATTCATTCAAGAAACCACTATACCTTAACGATCTATTTTGAAATTAAATAAAAAAGAAAATTGAATGGAGATGGAAATTTAATAAAAATAGAAGTTGAATAAAAATAGAAATGGAAACTGCATAAAATTAAACATGGAAGTTCATTCAAGAAACCACTACACCTTAACGATCAATTTGGAAATTAAATAAAAAAGGAAATTGAATAGAAAAGGGAATTGAATAAAAATGGAAGTTGAACAAAAATAAAAATGGAATTTGGATAAAATTAAAATTGAAAGTTTATTCAAGAAACCACTATACCTTAACGATCTATTTGGAAATTAAATAAAAAAAAATGGGTTTTGAGAAAAAAACTTAAACCAGATAGTGTAGACACCCCATTTTTGACCGACCTCAAGACTCATACGTCACCGACTGAGCGCTTGGTGATGTTGCATATCGTGCTCGTTCAGAGGTTTCAGAGTCTCGGCTACGAGCCTTGCCTCCAGACTTTCAGACTCTTTCATGCTTTGCCTCGGTTTGCGAACCAGGCTCTATTTTCTCTGTTTTCTCTTCCCGAAGGGAGGGAGAGGTCTCGTAGATCATCTCTTAGTGGCCGTAGGCTACGTTTCGTGGTCGTAGGCCGTTTTGCCCATTTGGAGTCTGGTTTTCAATTTTTCGGGGCCGTTGGCAGTGTGCCTCGGTTCGGGACCGCCTAACCACCTCCGTTTGCTCCGGTTTTTGGCATACATCTTATTTACTCCCTTTTGAGGGACACTGTGGCTCGAGAAACCAACTTCGTGGTCGAACACCACTTCCGGTGCCTAACAGTCAGTTTTCGAGGCCTCGGGCTGCAAGTTTCGGCCCCCGAACCTTCATTTTGCATCGGTTTGGGTTCATTTTTGGCAGGGACCTCTGTTTCATTGTCAAGAAGTTCGTAGAAGGGTGGGAGGCCAGTAATTGTTCTGACAACCAGTTTTATTCCTCTATCGCCCTCCGTCGCCCGTTTTTCTCAGTTGAAAGCCAATGTTGACCACCCTAAGGCCACTTTTTCTTGCTCCAAACCACATATTTGTGTTGTACACACCTAGGAGGCCATCAATATCACATGGTCGGCCAGTAATTCTGTGTGACCCTTTTGAACCCCTCCTAAAAGTGGCCCTTTCTCTCTCCTGGTTCACTTTCTCCAGTTTTTGACTGCATGGTTGTGTTGTGCACACATGAGAGGCTCCTTTTTTGGTATGGCCAGCCATTAATCCTCATTGAGCCTTTTGACCCTTGGCCGGCCAGCCATGGGAAGAGCCGGCCGGCCACCTGTAACTCCAATAACCGGCCGGCCATGATCCCCTCCACTGGTACAGTTCAAATATACATTCTGTTTCCCCCCAGATTTTGTATCCGGGGGGGCTGCATTTTTGGGGGAAAACTTGAATTCTTTCCCCCCCATTTTCCCCCCTTTTCTCCCCTTATTTTGCCTATATAATGGCAGCTCCAGCTCCCATCTAAGGGTTACAAAAATTTCCCCCAAGCCTTTTGCATTGATCCTCCATCTCCTCCTCTTCCAACCCTCAAAACCTCTCAAGTCCTACACCCCCTTTCTACACCACCACCTAGCACCACACCCTGTAACTCCAATAACCGGCCGGCCATGATCCCCTCCACTGGTACAGTTCAAATATACATTCTGTTTCCCCCCAGATTTTGTATCCGGGGGGCTGCATTTTTGGGGGAAAACTTGAATTCTTTCCCCCCCATTTTCCCCCTTTTTCTCCCCTTATTTTTCCTATATAATGGCAGCTCCAGCTCCCATCTAAGGGTTACAAAAATTTCCCCCAAGCCTCTTGCATTGATCCTCCATCTCCTCCTCTTCCAACCCTCAAAACCTCTCAAGTCCTACACCCCCTTTCTACACCACCACCTAGCACCACACCACCACCTCCATTCCAGCCACTTGGAGCTGCTTTCCAAAGCTGAGGAGCACCATTTCTTGTGCCAAGAGGTTGTCAAAGATTGGTCTACAAGGGTGAGTCTGTTTTCCCCTCTTTTGAGTTCATTGTTGCATGCTTTCTTGGCCATTCTTGCTTACACTTTTGGGCTTCGACCCTAACTGAAAATAGCATTTTTTCAACTCTTTTTCATGTTTGTTTAAGGGCCTCTCACTATTTGAGGCTTCCTTTTTTCACTTGCTTCTTTACCTCTCTTGTATGCCTATTTCTTGTGTAGTATTTTTGGCCTACGTGTAAATTGTTTTGAGCTCTGTCATAAACTTTAAAGTGGCTTATTTTGAGGCCTTCTTCAAAATTGTTGAAGGGCTCATCACTGTTTGAGGCTTCCATTTGCCACTTGCCTTTATACCCCTCTTTTGGCCATATTTTTGCATGATTTGTTAGCCCCTTGTGCTTATTTTTTTAGGCTTTGTTCCGAACTGTAAATGGAATTATTTTGACCCCCTATTCATGCTTTATCATGGGACTTTTTCTGTTTGAGGCTCCCCTTTTACACTGTGTTTAAGCCTCTTTTTAGGCCTTATTTTGCATAATATTTTAGGCTTGCATGTGCACTGTTTTGGGTTTGGTCACTAACTGTAAAACACCATGTTTTGGGTCTCTCTTCAACTTTGTTGAAGGACCCTCCTCTGTTTGAGGCCAGCAACCATCACTTGCTTCTTTGTCTCCCTTTTGGCCCATTTCTTGCACAATGTTTTAGGCCTGTTTGTGCTTAGATCCGTGGCTGGTTGTAAACTGTAAAGTGCTTCATTTTGAGCCCCTCTTCAACTTTTTTGAAGGGCTCTTGGCCATCTAGGGCCAGTAGCTGCCACTTGCTTCATTACCTCTCTTTCGGGGCCATTTTTGCATGCTAGTTTAGCCCTATTTGTGTTCATTGTTTGGCCTTACCTAAAACTGTAAATATGCTTGTTTTGGGGCTGCATTGAATCTGTCTTCACATTTCATGTTTAAATAATGCATGTTTTGTATAGCTATAGGCCAATGCATATGCCTAGTTTTGTGTTTCGAGTTCATTCCGTGCATCGGGTACCATATTGCCATGTTTCGGGGCTGTTTTGCATCGTATTTTGGTACTGAAATTTGCATGCTAGTGTGCCATATTCCATGCCTTGCCATGTCTTGTTAGAGTGGCATTCGTGCCTTAGGTTCGGTCCTCGGTTTGCGTGCATGTGTGCACGCATTCCGAGTTGTCTCATTTTCATCTCCTGGCCTCTTATGTGAGTGTGGATGAGGTCCACTCATGTTGGTGTAAGTCCATTATGCATTGTGCATGCCATTTCATTTCATAGCATTGCGTAAGCTAGGTTGTATGTTAGCGCATTGTGTATGCCATGTTACCTCGTGCATCGTGTATGCCATCTCATAGCATTGTGCATGCTAGGTTGTATATTAGTTGCATTCATGCATGTCATGCATACTGCATTGTACTTGGGATAGGAGTTAGCCCGAGCACAGGAAACACATTTCGTACTTCGAAGTGAACGGAATGTGTCTCAATTCCCCGTCACCGAACACTCCGAATTATCCATGATGGAGTTTAGGTTTTTGTTGTGTTTATATGTGATTCATGTCATATTAAAACGTGCAATTCGGTCTCTCTTCCATCATGCATCGAGATGCGTGATTAGTGGCACGAGGATCGAGGCATGCATACATTTGTGAAAATACATTGCCATGTCCCTTTCCTGCTCTCTGTTGCAGCAAATCAAGAATCAGCAGTCTTCCGGGGCTTGGCGCGCTTTCCAAGAAATCATTGCCAAACAGAGGCTCATTGGGGCATCGCAGTGGATTTCCGTGCCAAGCAACCCAAGCATGCATCATCCATCATTCGGAACAGAGTCAAGGCAGCCCCTAGCTTACATGCTAGTTTACAGCTTTCTTAATTTAATTTGTTAATTAATTAGGATTTTGTACATATTTGGACTGTAATTATTTGGGACTGTATATTATTTATTCGGACCCTCTGAGCGAGGGCAATAATGTAATAAGTGTGCGTGTGTGTGATGTATGTCTTCCAACCCCACGTCTTTCTCCCTTTTATTTACCCGCTTATGATGGTTAGATTAGGGCATGCTTCAATTAGCATACAATATGATAGCATGTTTGCAATCATTCATCTGTTTTGCATGCACCGGGCTCGGCGCATCATACTAACTGCATTGTATTTTCAATTCCAAGTTGAATACATGTTAGCTGTAGCATTTCATATGCCATGTTTAGAATAGCCGAGCCTGCTATAGTTGCATTTTTGCATGTATTGCATTAGGCATTTCCGTATAATTAGAATCATGCATGGATTTCTAATTAGCTTCTGTTTTGGCTTGGAGTACTCGGTAAGTTTTATGCTTTAGCATCCTTGCATGCGTGAGAGTGACTGCCATGAATAGCATGCTTACCATGAGGCTATATGCTTATGTGATATAACTGCTTGAATGCCTGTGGGTGAAGGTTAGGTTATTTGAGTTGGAGCAATTCGTTAAAATGTATGTTTTAAGCCCACTAGATAGTGGTAAAATTATGTTTTTCTAAGCCCACCTGAGGGTGGCAAATCCACGTCTTAGCCTACTTGCGGGTAGCACCATCAAACCATTTTCAAACAAACGAACATTGAAATGTTTTGTTCCAATTCAGGTGATCCAGTCTATATTTATATGCTGTGCGCATCACATAGTAAATCTAGGCTAATAACCGGAATAAGAACACACAATGTTTTCAAAACTTGATATCATGGTTAGTAGAGGCCGATCTTTGATCGGGCGAGCGGGG